CTTCTAGCTTAGTGCCCTACTCAGTACCCTGTCCCACAGTATTCTGTCACGTTCATGAAGACAGGCACATCCCGTCTGGGCCTTTGATACTCCAGTCAAGCTGCTTTAAACCTTGCTCTCCTGAGGGAGGCTTCTCTGTTCTGCTTTTTTCTGTGTACACATTAACTTGTATTAGATTTTTTTTTAAGTATGAATGATTAGCATGGTATACAGTTTTTTTAGATGAGTTCTTATCAAGACCTTTTACAAACAACATTGCCACTTCCCTGTATATACCAGGAATACCTCTTCATCCAAAGCATCATAACTTTTGCTATTTTCATAGCAGGATTGTGGTTGCATTCTTAAAATTACTTGGCAAACCATATGGGATAATGTTTTCCTGCCCAAAAGAACCATAGTCTCGCGTCACAGTTTTGCTGGTCACTGCTGGCTGGTAGAGCCTCTTTCTCAGTGTTTCCAGTTTTTCCGCCTTTGCTGTGTGGAAGCAGCAGCAGGGACAGGCCTCCCTGGCCTTGCGGGCGGTTGCTGCGCTCAGGCCACAGCCTCTGGCACGGCCTCGTGTCCCGCAGCCCTTGGGGCCCTGCTGGCCCTGATGGTGACTGACGGGCACAAGTGGCCGTCCCAGCAGCGGCCGCCCCTGCGGCTCGTGGCACTGCAGGGATTGCCGCCGCCCCTGTCCTGTGGGGACGGGTTTGCTGCTCTAACAACGCGCCGAGCAAGCCAGGGCTGTACCCTCGCACTGCCTCTGCAGCGGGTTTCAGTGCCGCCTCCGTGCGCTCCCCGGTGCTGCCGGAGCCTGGAGCTGGGCAGGAAGGTGGGGAAGGGGCTGCTGAACTGGACGGAGGGCTGTGGCTGGGCTGGGTCCATGCCGTTACCTGGGTCCCTCTGTCACGGGAGCAGGGTCAGTTCTGCTGTGCTTTGGCATGAGCTTTTGGGAGCTTCTGCGGAGGGGCAGGACCCTGGCAGGATGGGGCCCTCGGCCCAATGCTTAAAGCACCAGGGTGTGCGGGCCGCGCTCTGACGCTGAGTTTGCGGGTTGTTCTAGATCAATGGGGTAGACATGACAGAAGCCAGGCATGATCAGGCCGTAGCGCTGCTTACCGCCTCCTCGCCCACCATCGTGCTGCTGGTCGAGAGAGAGGGCGCCGAGGCGCCCGGCGAGGGC